AAAAAAAAAAAAAAAAAAAAAAAAAACAAACACATCATAGTAAAACCAATACCTTCTCAGCTTCGCATAGAAGCTAAAAGATAGGATTAATTATTGCATTATTTTCCTGGTTTATACTCAATACTATAAATTAAATACTAGTACAAATTTACCAAAATATTTTGTTGACTCAAGTATAATGTCCAGGAGGATTTTATTTGTAATTTAAATGCGGATATTCCAAGGAATCAAAAAAAAAAATCAGGTGCACAATTTCCTTTATAAGATTCAACTATAACTTTATACATTTGTAAGAACATTAATACTCAGCACTCAGTAAGTATATACATATAAAACTCAAATTATAAACACATATGGCTTTAACGCTTCATTTTTATATTTAAAAGTATATCTCAATTGTGTCATATTGTATTATTATAGAATTGCGGATATTTATATAACTCTACAAATATTTTAATGAATTAATTAGAAAGGTATGGGGTATAGCCTAAATAGCTTAATGCGCATAATATAATTTTAGAAATAAAAACTTTTTTTAAAAACTTTAAAAATTCTATCAAATTTAAAAATATAAAAATTTAACTTTTTTAATTTTATTAATGAGTTGTAAAAATAAATATTTTTGTTAATAATAACAAATCATTTTCCAACATCTTTAGAAAAAATAGATATTTTTATTTAGAAAAAATTATAAGGTAGTTCAGGGTTGCCACAATTTATAAATTTAAGAATTCCTTGATTTTCCAGAAGGTAGCATACAAAAAAAAAATATCCCTTACATAAACTCCTAGATAAAATTGCAATTTAGTATCATAGTTAATTGTGGTAAAAAATGTTAAATAATACACTTATTCCTTAATATAAAGCATAAAAAATGAAAAAGTGTACCCATGGAAATAATAGAGTATTATCATAAAACTGGTGGAATTCCACCTATTTTGTCATTAAATTATAATACTTCAATATTTAATTAAAATAAAATCTATCAATCAATATACCAAAATTAATATAGCTGTAATTAAATTTTGACAGAAATTCAATACACCAGGGGAGGACTGACCATAGGAGCAATTTAATTAGCATAATTTAGTTTGTAAAAAGTAATTTTTTGTGCATAATTTCTTTTTTATGGAATGATAGAGATATTTTTAGGAGAAAGCTAGGCCACAAGAATTTTTGTGCCCCTTTGAGCTGTTGATTTCCCAGCCCCGCTCTATATTACACATCATAAAATTATGTGAAAATTTTAGATACTTTAATAAAATCCCTTGACATTCCAGATTCCCTGACTAATAAAAAATTATCCCGATTGTACCAGTTTTCCATATTTGTCGCAACCCTGTAATTTTTTTAGTAAATCAATTTTTTGAAAATTATATAATTCATTAAAAAACATTACTTAATTAAACAAATTTTAATCTGTACTCAATAGAATTGTTTTCCTATAAGTAGCTGATTGTTTTTTTACAACATCGCTATTTACAGAAATAAAAATTAATGAATTGACTCACCATAAATGAATCAATTACCAACTGGTTAGTATTATGCCTCTTATATAATATACATATATTTTAAATCAAAATTAATTTATTTATATCTAATAAATTGATGAGAAGTTATATAAAAAATTTAAACGTCAGTTACTATTAGAAACTTCTAATACTATATTAAATGCAAAATATATTTTCCCATTAGAAAAAACCAAAAATTGACAGCCTTTCAAGACATAAGGGATGAACTAAATATAACCAAAACAAAAAATTTTAAAACTACTCATACTCTGCAAATAATTAAGTGGTTTATGATAAAAGGGTAACCTTGTATAATAGCCAATGATATAAGAACTACATAAAGTTTTAAAAAAGTGTTTCTTAACTGTAAGTAAAAATAATAAATAAATCCAGACAATAAAACCTAGGAAACTTGTTTTACTTTTTTATTTAAGATCAAAAAGTAACAAAAAACTTGATATTTACTATTTATCTTCAAACATCACTACAATCAATTTAGTTTCTAAATTTAAGCATATCGAGGCAAATTAAAGAAAGAAAAGTAATTTTATAAGTTCTTACCATCATCTTCTGCTTGATTGTTTTCTTCTCGAATAGCATTTAATTTTTCAAGAACAGATGGTTCGATTAAACTGTCATCAAATTCCAAGTATGCTTTAATTAAAGCTTTTTCATAATCACCTTTCTCAAACAAATCATTTTTTATGAGAGAAGGTAATTTTTCAGCTGCATATTGAGCTACTTCTGCGCCACCATGACCATCAAAAACAGCAAAAAGTGAAATGTTTTTATCAAAATCCAATAAACAACAATGAGCATCCTGTAATTTTAAAATAAAGATAGATAAATAAAAAAATATATTAGTCGAAGAGTCTATTCTAAAAAAACAACAAAAATATTAAAAGAAAAAAATTATTCAAAAGAAAAATTTGGAGGGAAAAAAGCCGGTCGATTTTTGTTTACCTCTTGGCTTTCACGCCATCCTTGCATAGAACTGGCACCGCATATCAAGGAACTGTTCTCATAATCTTTTGATTCTTTGTCAGTTTTTGGTTTACTCAAATAAGTACCCATTTTATTAATCAGCTACTTTATATTAAAACCTGAAATACACACTAATATATTCACAATGACCAAGTGACAACAGCAGTTTTGATTTAATTTATATTAACACGTCAGTTCACGTTAGTAATAACAAAAATAGCTTCTTAGCTCTGCGAGGATAATAATGTGGTGTCATTTATTAAGTTACAACAAATTGAAAAAGATTAAATTAAAACCAACAATAATAACAAAAAGAATCGTCGAGTTGAGTACTAACGATGGCGACGGTCACCACAAAATTTAACAATGAGAAAAACCCAACGACCGAAGCTCGGCGCAATTGGTAGTGGCGGCGAAAAATTACTAAACCTATGTACATACAATGATACCAACTGTAACCTAATATATTCCAAAGAGAATAGTAATTTCTTTTTATTATTTACAGATAGTCTTACTATTTCCTAAATTTTCATTTACTTAAATACAGAAAATAAAATTTTTCGATAACAAAATCAGAAATTTACATAAATTGATAGAAAGTTTAATTCACCACACAATAAAAATTAGAGCAGCATTGATGTTTACTGGCCCAAAAAATGTCATTTTTTATTCATCAATTTAATTATATGAGACATTTCAATTATTTAGGCAATGGTAAAAACTCTTAAATTTTTTTATTTATAATTGCAAATTCCCTAGTCAAAAACTTAAAATATTCTAGCTCCACTAAACATTTTACTGATTACCCATCCGTCTATGGATTTATTGTAATTATATTTATGTAACTATTTGTTGTCCAATATGAAAAAAAAATTTCTTTCAAATTGAATAAATATTAAAATGATAATAAAAAATTTAATTGTTAATTATTGTGCTACTGTGCTGTAGCACAGTGGGTCAATCAGTCCCTGAATATCAACAAATTGTATTACTGAATCGAAAAATAAATAATAGAGAATTAATTTCTTAGTCTTGCATAGAAAAATAAATTTAAATTTGCTCAATTCTGTACGCTTATTATTTATTCATACATTATAATTATATTATATATTATTATTATTTTTCATATATATTATTCAAGAATTTTATATTTATTTTTAATAAAATCAGCACAGTGGTGTCGCAGCATAGTTTGGATAAGTATAGATCATATTTGACAGTGATAAACATCATAATCACATAAAACGCTTCGATGCAAATTTGTTAAATTTTACAATAATTTGTAAAATAGAAACTTACAATGTCTATGGTTTAATTATTATATTATTTATATTAATCACTTTATCATCTTTTAAAATATTTAAAGGTTAATAGCAATAGTAAACATTTTTATTAAATTAATTTAGTTTTCATTTAATATAATGTTGTTGTTTTTTCGAGTGATTGGGCTTATTTAACTTGGAATATTTTGAGGTGGAACAAATAAGACAATTAAATTAACTTGTGTTCGGTTCAGATTATCGTAATGTTTTACTTACAAATCTTATTTTTTATTAATACAATACATTTTACATTTAATACAGTTTACACATGAATTGCACGACGATCCAACTAATTATCACAGTTAGAGTCAGCATCATTATGTTTGAACGCTAAACTGTAAACTACAATACCTAAAATCATCAAAATTAATGTTTTAATAATTTTTTTTTTTTTAAATACCATATTTTATTTATAATAATTTCGAATAATTTTTAGTCATCATATTTTTCTATAGCTATAAAAATATGTTTATTTATTCACGTTCATATAAAAACCTTGCGTCATAAAACAATAATATTATGTTATTTTTTGCTAAAAAATTATACCAGAGCAGTGGCGCAACTACGGGGGTGCCAGGGGTGCTGAAGCACCCCAACTTTACTTTAAGCACCCCCAAGTTCCAAGTCTTTGTAATTTCAAATATGTATAGTTTTAACAATGTATTGATTAACAAAATGTATATCATCAAGGTTGTATATATCCTAAATGGTATATTATATTATATTATCAACATTATAGCGATTTGTAAAAAATTTTTAAAGTATCAAAACAAAAAAAACCCAGCACAGGGGGGTCGCGGCACAGTGGTGACGTGGTATAGATGGATCAAGTATAATGATATCTCACAGTGATTAAAATCACTATCAAAAAAAAACGCTTCGATGCAAATCTTTAGATACTGTTTAATTTTAAAAAATTGGTGGACTATTCCAAAAGCTACATGATNTCTTTAGATACTGTTTTATTTTAAAAAATTGGTGGACTATTCCAAAAGCTACATGATCTGCTAGTTCATTATTAATATTCTAATTAAGATAAAGTATGTAGAATGAAAAAGGGATTATTAAAAAATATTATTTTTCATAGAAAAATAATGTTGATCCATACACTTTTCAATATGTCATAGCATTATAAAGTTAAAAATGTAAAAAATAAAATCGAGAATTTTCACACAATAATAGCATTCGGTAGCCATTTTCACCGTGAAGATAAAATAAAGTCCGAAATTTTTTTTT